GGTGCTGTGGGTTAAACCACAGAGCCTAGGACAGGGGTCTGCAACCTTTAAGACAAAAAGAGCCACTTGGACCCGTTTCCGAAGGAAAAAAAACCCTGGGAGCCGCAAAACCATTGCGACATTTAAAGCATGCGCGCCGCTGCCCTCCGATCTGACAGCGGGTGGGAAGGTGACGTCGGGACAGTGCGTGACTAATGCACACACCGCCCCCATGCGACGTCACAGCCAGTACAGCGCCCGCCACAGTGGGGAGTGTCGGGGCGCACAATGTGCCTCCTCCCCTCTCTAGTATCCGCCCCGGAGCCGTGGCAAAGGTGTAAAAGAGCCACATGCGGCTCCGGAGCCGCGGGTTGCAGACCCCTGGCCTAGGACTTGCCGATCAGAAGGTCGGTGGTTCGAATCCCCGCGATGGGGTAAGCTCCCATTGCTCGGTCCCTGCTCCTGCCAACCTAGCAGTTCAAAAGCACATCAAAAGTGCTAGTTTCCCAGCGGGAAGGTAAATGGCGCTTCCGTGCGCTGCTCTGGTTTGCCAGAAGCAGCTTAGTCATTCTGGCCACATGACCCAGAAGCTGTACACCGGCTCCCTCAGCCAATAAAGCGAGATGAGCGCCGCAACCCCAGAGTCGGCCACGACTGGACCTAATGGTCAAGGGTCCCTTTACCTACTTTCACTGGACCCCCCATAGCATCGTATTTCCCCCCTTCCCTGTGTCTCCAATAATATAATATGTTTCCATTCAAAGCTCTATCTTTTTCCACACTTCCTTCTTCTAGGTCAAAAAGTGATCCTCGGTGTCAGCCTGCCAAGCCACTTGTTACGCACATTGCTTCCTTTTCAAATCCTGCTACTTCAACCCTTCGCACATTGCTTCCTTTTCAAATCCTGCTACTTCAACCCTTCGTTTAGCAGCAACAACAGAAGCATCACACATAAAAGCATCTTAAGTTATTCCCATTTCTGTCTCCCGGGGGGTGGGGCAGTGGGGACAAGCCTTTCAAAGAGGAAACAGTTTTGCACGCTGGATACTAGAAATAACGATCAGCAAATCAGTCTGGGAAGTCTAGTCTGCTCAAAGGAACAAGCAAGCCAGAAATTTAAATCTTGCGAACAAGCCAAACAACACAGAAAAAGCACACCAGGTAGACTGGGGGCTGAGGGTTGTGTTTTACAACTCTCTAACTAGGATAGCTTCCTCATTTACATTTCCCCCTTTAACTGTGGGAACTGAACTTGTTGGTTCAGTAGCAATAATTCTCATTTACAGTTTAATGTGCTGTAACATAATCCTACGTTCCAACTAGCAATGCTTAGCGAACGTGTGCCAAGAGAATTTGCATAGCATTTAATTAATGGACCAGCAAATCTATAGACATTATGCAATCATTTTGATGTGCCTGACTCCTAAAGAAGCACTCATCTTTATTCTGTTACTCGATTTGCGTCATCTCAGCGCCACCTCTTACAGTGAGCTTTTATACTTGGGTAACAGCGGGCATGCCTAAAGTCCGTTTCGTGGGCCCAATTCGTCCTGCCCAATTCGTCCAGCATTTCCCTTTTCAAACTGTACACGTGTGATTGCTAATAACTTGCACACACTTGAAAGGGGAAAGCCGCAAGCACACATGTCCTGGAATTCAGTCTCTACAGCAGGACACAGAATGCATCACCTTCAACGGATGGGTGCAAACTCTGCAGAAATGCAACATGTACAGTGGGTGGTTATTTTATATCGGGGGTAGGGAACCTATATCCCTCCAGATGCTGCCAGACTACAACTCCCATCATGCCTGACCATTGGCAATGGTGGCTGTTGATGGAGGGAGTTGGGTATGCGGCATTTCTGGGCATGGCACTGGGGGGGCGGGGGCTTCTTGACTAGAATATGGTAATCTCAAAGCAGTTGCTCATACAGAGATACAATAGGTTGCCTACCCTGGAGGTAGGTTAGTCTGCTGCTTCTCTACATCAGGTACGACTGAACGATTCAATTCAGAGCTGAAACAGAAGGACCCAACCCATAGCAAATGCTGATTGGCAGGAGGCAAGCACAGAGCAGTCATTCTGACAGTGTTAGAAACTCAGATATATAAGCTATGGGCCAAATGGCTCCTTATACCAAGGATACAGTCACCAAAATGGAATGTCTAGTGGTCATTTTTTGGGTAAGACAGTCTTGTTTTTCAAATGATGGGCTGGCTGTGATTGATTCTCAGTTAAACATCTGGCTAGTTCAGATGACAACCTTGAGCTCGCTTAAGAACTTTGAGAACTTGAAAGAAGAAAAGTCACTTGATCCAAGGACAGTCCACATATATATTAGTCTACGTCTACCTCTTTTTCTGCACAGAAAAAGCATTTCGGTGCCTGAAATTCATTCCGAGCATTCAAATGAAATATAAAAACTAGAATTCTACAGGATGTGTTGCTAGTGTGTGAAAACAGTCAAGATCCAACAATCCCCAGGCATGCACCTCCAGATGGTGACCCATCCTGGCACCCAGGCATCTTCACTTAGTTGCCTGCGGTCGATAGACAGGTGCAAAAGGCGCCTGGCTAATTTCGAACACTAGTCACTCATACAGAAATGCAACAGACCTCCTCCTCCTCCTCAATGAGCAGTGGGGGGGGGGAGATACTTCTGCTATGTCTTTGCACTGAGAGCCACTGGATGACTCAACTGGCCCTGCAAAAGGAACAGAATGACCTATCCACAATGCTGACAGGAATCAGGAAACACGGAGCAATGGATCCAAACTACAAGAAAGAAGATTCCACCTAAACATTAGGAAGAACTTCCTGACAGTAAGAGCTGTTTGACAGTGGAATTTGCTGCCAAGGAGTGTGGTGGAGTCTCCTTCTTTGGAGGTCTTTAAGCAGAGGCTTGACAACCATATGTCAGGAGTGCTCTGATGGTGTTTCCTGCTTGGCAGGGGGTTGGACTCGATGGCCCTTGTGGTCTCTTCCAACTCTATGATTCTATGATTCTAGGTGGAGAGAAAGCAGCCACTCAAACATGCAGAGATGAAACGAGCAGCCTTCTCCTTGCAAGCTCCTTTAATAATTTAATTCATTTATTTCTCACGCAACGCCAGTTTGGAGAATGACTGACATGTCGGGCTTGAGGTCATGTTGAGTGTGCTAGAGCTTGACAGGTATCACCCTTTCTGAGTCCGTGGTCAGAAGCAACCAGAAAGGGTGGCGATTGTGCTAGGTGGAAATCAGTATGCCAAATAAAATTTTTAAAAAATTGAAACAACAACCCTTAGTTTGGCCAGCAACCTAGACTGCAAGATACTTGACAGGCGAGAACTCCACCCAAAATAAGGAGGCCTAACAGTATATGCCTTTGAGGGATGGAGGGAGGCTGGGAGATAAGGGCATGGGATGGCCGAGCCCTGATCCTCCAACAAAGGTGACACCAGAGGAGGCTCCTTAGGGCTGCAAGTTCATTTTGGTCCATTGCAAAATCTGTTTGCATCTCAACTTGTTGCACTGTAAATTGTTCAAAGCCTCTTCGACACCTCTTTGGGAAGGTAGTGTGGTGTTCTTAGCATAGGCATTTTGAGACGCCAGCTGCATTGTGCAGATACCACAGGTGAGCCATGCATGAAATTCACTGTGAAATCAAGTTTGACATGCTACGTATGGCACCAGTGCAGACAAGTCCCAAGTCAGAAGAGCTAGGTTATATAGTACAAGACTGAGACCAGCTAGCAGATGTGGCCGTACTGGACCTGGAAAATAGGTGCTGCAAAGACATATGCATCTATGTATCCCTTTGAGTCACACAGAACTCTTAATCAGGCAGAAGGAAAAAGCAAGTGTTCACAGGCACACTGGCCCAAGCACCACCACGACTATTACATGCACCTTGCCTAATCTGCCTTAGAGTAGGTCAAAGGTAGGGGATCTGTAACCCAGCCAGCCTGGCCAATGGTCAAGGATTATGGGAGTTGTAGTCCAACTACATCTGAAAGGCCACAAAATCCCCATCCCTAGACTAAGCAGTTGAGTTTCTCCTGTATCCACAAAATAAGATAAAGCAATATGTTATTTTATTAAACGAAATTCACTCTGTTGCGTAGATGTGTGCATGCAAGCCTTCAAATTACACATTAGACATAATGAGAAAGTAGCTAATGCTTTTGGAGAAGAGTTGGGCAAACTTCAGGCTTCTCAGAGCTTTGTTTGTGTTTATCTTCAACCCCAAGAACCACCAGCCAGAATCCTATGCAAGAGACACACAGAATTAAATAACACCTCTGAGCAAATGCTAAGCCTAGAAAGGTGTTTTAGTACTTGTTTTGAACAGAGCCGACTGTCCTTGCACACACAAATCCACACCTGCTTGGCTTTCCTCATTTCAGCAGCCTAATTTAGGTGAGGAAAGTTGCTTTTCTTGTTGCTATTGTTAATTGTTACTGGGAATCAGAAACCCTCCCCAGTCTACAGCAGATCACCAGGCAGATCCCAATCTACCGTCTGCCCGCCCCTGTTTCAGAGTATATACACCTGGCAAACTTGGCTGCAAACCCAAAATGCCACCACCGCACTGAAAACTTCAGCTAATCTTTTCGAAGAGAGTCCTTTTTCTCCCTGGCACCCCACACACTGACCTGGCTAGGTTGTACCACCGTTTTACGTGACAGGCAGATATCCCAGAGGCGAGCCTTTCCCCCATCACGCCTTGCCGCAGAAAGAAGCTACATCGGTTGGATTTCTGCCTCTCACTGTCAACAAAGGCAGATAAGCTTTTGCCAGGGGAAGGGAAGGGAGGGCGGGCGGGCGGGCGGAGAGGCACCAAACCACCAAAACACTGCCTTGCCTTGGCATAGCAAAAAAAAAAAAAAAAGCTGCGCCTGCTGAATTGCTGCTTCTCACACTCATTAAAGCCAAAAGCGCCATAGGAAAGAGAGAGATGGAAGACACCTGCTGAGAAAAACAGCAGAAAGCCAGCCCCGCCAGAAAGCGGAGTCCCAACTCCCGGTGTGGGCATTACCTGTTGCTGGCTCCCCAGAGGAGTCCCGGAGTGGCCCTTGGAGCGCAGCCGGGGGCCGAAGAAGCGCTCCGGCGCCACCTCCGAACTGGCGCGCCCTCGAGGGGTTCTGCCTGCCCGGCACCGTCGCCGGCTGCTGCTGCAGCTGCTGCTGCTCCCGAGGAGGCTCCCGAGGGGCGGAGCCGGGCGCCGCCTCCCCGCCCATCCTGCCCTCCCTCCCCGTCCGACTTGTTGCTGCCGAGCGCCGGCAGGGCCGCCCCAAGCGGCCAGGGAGCGGCTGGGCTTCTCGGCTCCCCAGAGCGCGTGTGAAAACTCTCCCGGGCAGCTGACGGGAGCCGGGCAGCGACCTCTTGCGGGCCGCCTTGCGCCAAGCAACGAAAAAGCCCTGAAAGGTGCCGGGACAAGCTGAGGCAAAATGTGGAGTCGCCTCTGCTGCCAAGATGGTGGCTTGGGAGGGAGAAGCTTTGAGGCCAAGTGTACTTAGTGCCCGTGGATTAGGACCACTCCTAGAGTCAGCCCATTCACCCGTCTACCTCCGGAATGCTGGCTCTGACTGGCAGTGGCTCCAGGATTATCAGACAGGCGTGTTTCCCCCCCACTCCCAGCCCTGTCTGGCGATGCTGGGACTCGAACCTGGGCCCTTCCGCATGCACAGCCCTTCTTCCCTTTCTGGAAGCCTTAGATAAAAAAGATGCAAGTTTCTGGCCATTTTCTGGAAGCAGGGCTGGCTTGGCTCAAGAAAGAGGCAGTGCAGTGCAGTGGTTAGCGTGTCAGACTAACCACAGACTGCGAGTCCAGAGTTCAAATCCACCCTGGGTGACCTTGGGCCGCTCACTGCCTCTCAACCTAATCTTCCCTCACAGGGTTGTTGTGAGGATGCAAGGGGGGAAGGGAACCATGTACACCACCTTGAGATATAAATGTGATTAAATTTGTTGCTGCCAGTTTAAACTTGCTTCCAGTTCTTGCATTGAAGCGCCCTTGGGGGCAGCAGGTGGTTTATGAGATACAGGGCAAAAGCTTAAGGCCAGCCCAGGCTGGACTTCATGAGACGGTCAAGGATAGTCCAAAGAGAACCTGGAGGATTCTGCTGCAGTCGTCCGATTGTTCCTGTTATTTGTGAAGAGACACGGCAAAAGAATATTTGTGCACCATTGAGGGTAGAGATTAAATGACTGGGGAAGGGGAGACCACTGTGCTCATGCGCTTATCTGCCTCACAGGGAGGAAGAGGGAGGGGGGATACAAGTGCAAGACATCCCATAATAAAGTTGGGACTTCCCTGGTTTGATTACAGACATCCATGGGACTCACAACTTGGAAAGTATTAGGATTGTTCCACTGGATTGCATAGCATTGCTGCTAGCATGTAATTGCAGCCATGGAGCACTGCCACAAAGAAGCACAAGGGACACTGATGCAGCTGTGGAAGCATTTATAGAGAAAGGGGAATTACCCTACACTATGTACTCAAAGTTAATATGGCTTAAATTATGATCAAATAATTGATATGGGCATGGATTATCACATTATGACCCAATCAACCAGTCTCTTTATGACCAGTCAATGACCAGTATTCACACATTATTTAAAGCACAAAAGAACCACCCAAACCCATTTGTGTGTTCAAAGGCCCTTTCCACAGTTGAAAGTAACCACTTATTTCTTTTGGCCACTGTTACAGCTAACCAAACAGGTTGGGCCGGTTTATGAAACATTACCAAAAAAAGAAGTAGTGAATAACATTTAATCAAATGATGGTTTAACAAACAAATGACTACATGAAGCACAAGCAACAATAGCTCTATCATATCACTCTGCTTTACAAATAAACAAAAACAGTATCTTGTCTACTGTTAAGAGTTCAGCATTCTTGACTACAGTATATACACCGAAGTTCTGCACCATAAATCAGTATTACTCCATGTCAAACTTCATCTGGAAGCAAGTTAGGAAAATATTCCTGGTCACATAGATGGTGATGCATGGGAAACATCAATCTCAACAGGAGTATCTCCTGTCTTGAGCAACTTAGCTAGCAGTAAGTGTATGACTCTTAGTCATTCCATTTACAATTAATTTACTTTTCTCCTTCCTACTCCATCTCAGTTTATCTTTATTAAATCTCACTCCTGTTTATCTATACTTCTGATTTCTATGAAACATTTCTGAAGCCATTTGGATAAGACTGAATTTCTTTCACAAAATACTTAGCATTCTAATAAAGAATCCTATCAGATATATAAGCATCCCTTTCAAGCAGTAGGCTATTCATGTATCTTAGGGGGTCAATCAAGCAATCTATTAGTGTGGTTAGGACAGGGATGGTGAACCTGTGGCCCTCTGAGGTTACTGAACTCCAGCTCCCATCAGCCCCAGATAGCATGGCCAATGATCAGGAATGTTGGGAGCTGTGGCCCCAAAACATTTGGAGAGTCAAAGTTTCCCCATTCCTAAGCTGGGGCTTTGAAAATCAAAGGAGTGAAACAACATGCACCTCTATATAAATTACTGGAAACAGACATGCCACTTGAAGTAATGCAACTTTTTTATTTTTAAAAGGCTGCACTTTTCTCTAAAAACGTATGTAGTAGATAAAATTGGTGCCGGTTGTGGTTCAAAAAAAACCAGGCCATTATAGTTTATTATCTTTAAATAACTATGCAAATTATGGATCTTCATGACAGGTATCTTTTCAGACAGTGAAAGCAGTAGAAGGTAAATGTATGACTTTAACAAGGACCCCTAGTGATTGTTGGAAAGTAAGGTTATCTTCACATTCCTCCCCACCCACCACCCATCTGTTTAAGCAGTACACGGGAACCAAAATGGCCTGTTTGCAATTGTGCTCTTAACTCTCCACCCCCACCAACTAAAATTGGCCCCCATTGGAGGGCCATAAAGTTTTGGTGGTTGATTCATCTGACGATTGCACTAATGAAAGCTTACGGGCCTCCAGAAAAAAATGATACTTTCGCAAAATAAAACATCATGTTTTTAAGCAAGTTTCTCTGCAAGAAAACCTCAAATTAAGCTTTAAGATTATTTGTGTGATTTGTAACTGTTGTTAATCCATAGTACTGGAACAGCTAGGCCTGGTGAACTCGCAACCAGCACGCTGAGTCCATACACAAGATTTCCCAGTGACCCTGGAAGCATCTTGGATTTCCTTCTCTCACTGAAACTGCTTGGCTTGTATTTCACGACCATCTCTCTGCGTTACTGCACAATGGAGGTGGGGGGGGTGGAGAGAACAGACTACACCACCCCTAACGAAACCAGTCACCTGATCTTTCTCCACGTTTCACTGCAAAGTCATAATTTTTAGAAGCAGTTTGAAGGTTTCCTATGACAAGAATATAACGTCTTTGTGACCCAGGACTTGAGATTCATCTGGAGGCCACCTGATCTCATAGTTGATCTAAGAATAACTCACCTTGAAACAGGCAATTAGGCTATGTGTTAACTATATCAGGTTACTGGCACCAGAAGGCAAGGTTTCAGACTTACCTGTGAGCATTCTGTTTCTGCAGAGGTGGCATGAGCACCTACAAAAAAAGGGAAGCTCTCATCTCAGGCTTCAGCACAAGCAAGGATGGTAGCAAACACATACAAGCTCCATTAGCAAAGAAGATACCACTGAGTTACAGCCCTTCAGTAAAACTACAGATAAGCAACAGACCACAGCACAATGGACAGCAAGAGCTACTTCCAGAAGCTCTATTCACATAGATTTTCTAAACAGATGTATAGGTTCACATTTAGTTCTCATCAGCCCTGCCTTCTAGGGAGAAAATCCAGATACAGTGGTAGCTCAGTTAAAGAACAGTCCTGTTTACGAACTATTCGGTTTACGAACTCTGCAAAACCAGAAGTAGTGTCCCAGTTTGAGAACTTTACCTCGGTCTACGAACGGAATCCGAATGGTCGAAAGGCACCGGTGATGGGAAGCCTCATTAGGGAAAGCGTGCCTCAGTTTAAGAATGGCTTTGGTTTAAGAACGGACTTCCGAAACGGATTAAGGATACAAATGAAGATTTTCCTTATGGCTTGCAGTTCTAGTTTGAGCAAGGTCTTTTTCAAGGCATCCAACAGCTGGAAAAAATCTTCCATATATAAAAAGCATGTTTTGCTTTTAGTTTGCTAACATATAACTTGCTAACAGCAGGTGGTACTGTGGTCTAAACCACTGAGCCTCTTGGGCTAGCCGATTGTAATCCATGTGATGGGGTGAGTTCCCTTGGCTTTGTCCTTAGCAGTTTGAAAGCATACCAGTGAGTAGATAAATTGGTACCGCTGAGGTGGGAAGATAAACGGCATCTCCGTGCGCTGCTCTGGTTCGCCAGAAGCAGCTTAGTCATGCTCGCCACATGACCCAGAAGTGCACTCTGGCATTCATCATGGTGTTCCATTGCACCAGAAGCAGTTTAGTCACACTGGCCACATGACCAAGAAAGCTGTCTGCGGAGAAACGCCAGCTCCCTCGGCCTGAAAGCGAGATGAGTGCTGCAACCCCATGGTCGAATTCAACTGGACTTAACCGTCTAGGGATCCTTTACCATTACCTTTTTAACATAAATATACTAGACTAAAACCAGAACCCTCGCTAAAAGAGATGAAGACCCAGCCAGTACTAACTTGCTAGGTAGTAACTACTTCTTATTCAGTGATCATGTGCCTCCACCAGCGTAGAACAAAAGCAAAAATAGCCTCTTCAGTTTACTAAGCTTCTAGCATCTGGATTCTTTGCACTGAAAGATGTTAAAAGTGAAGAGGCTGCTTGTTGGTGTGAATGTTACAAGAGGAGGTTCCATTTCGGAGCCTTTTCACCTTTAAAAAGGCACACATTTTTTTCCTGATAACGATGATATTCCTATTTTGGTAAAACAAGTATATTCAGGCCTTAACTTATAACTTGCTGATTTGAAGCACAATATCATGGTACAGATCAAATGTAAACTTCTTACATATTTGGCAATTATCAACATACTTAGCCACCATTGGGCAATCCTGGCATCACTGTACAAAACAGACTTGTCATTTGGATTAGAAAGAGTTATGAATAATCAGAGCCCTTCGTTGACACACTGCTCCTATTCCTATGATGTGATGCGGGGGAGAAAT